TTTTTTTTTTTTTTTATTGCAATTTTTCGAATAACTCGAATTTCGCTGAAAAAAAAATAACCGTAACTGACTACAAATCCAAAATTCACTGTCTGATTGATTTTTTTTTGCATTTCACTGACGTTGTGACATACATACATACGCCCTTCCCATACTATACTAACGTTATGTACATATATGTATATGGCCATGAATAGACAGGCTACTCTGTCAACCGGTATGACGCTACTAGTATTTCTACCAGAAAATTAACATTTCATAGGACACTGCCAGGTTTAAAATACCAGTCCCTAGTGGTGAAATGAAAATAGTTGAAAAGCAAACTCAAGGCATTTTATGTAGTTCATAATTGGCAACTTTTCCTTACAGAGTGTGTACACTTTTACAATGTACATTCACTACATACAAATTATACATACATAGGCATGTAAATGCGAATGCCTATTTGGGTATGCAAGCATCTGTTCAATTATTTAACCATTCAAGTGATTTATGTATGCGCATTAGGGTAGTCCAAACATACATGTGAAAAAAGTAAAATCGGATAGGGGAAAAATGGGGATTGAAGCCTCACATTGTAAACCGGTTGTGCGTCCCATTCTGTTCTACAGAATCTTGGTTTGGTGTCCGTTTGTAGATAAATCTAGAAAAAGATGTTACGTCACTAATGTTTTATGGGTGCCAGGTCACAAAGACATACCGGGAAACTGTGTTGCAGGCAGTATCTATGACTTTGTGCGCTTCATCAGAGTTATGAGGTGGTTCCACTTCTAAGGTACGAGTAGGCGCATATGGAGTGTCATTTGAGTCTCTAATATGGCATCACAACGATAACCTAACCTAACCTAACCCAAAGTCGGAATTTTAATGCTTTCACAGCCTAGGATTTTTCTAGACTGAAAAAAATATACCTTTATATATTTATTTTGAAATTAAAAAATATTTATAGGTCGCTCAAAGCGGTCACAATTTTCCACGTATTTTATATGGGGAAAAACACTTTTCGTAGAAATGGCAGAGAATTCTTGAAAATCTACATTTTTCGATCGAAAAACCCTGTTTCTCTTCGAAAAACTATTTTAATTTTTTATTTGTTTATTTAACAATTTTTAACAGTAACTATAGTTTATAGGTCCGCTAAAAACCCTAGAAAATCAATGGAGGACCAATAAAAAATCTTTAGTATTAGTTAAATAAATAATTGGGTATTATAATTGGAACTATCCCGAAGAGAAATGAAGTTTTCCGATCGAAAAATATTGATTTTCCAAAAATCTATACCATTTCTACGAAAAGTTTTTTTCCCATATAAAATACTTTGAGCGCTTTGAGCGACCTCTAGATAAATATATTTTGATTTCAAAAAAAAAAATTATGTTTTTCTGTATAGAACAATCCTAGGGGGTGAAAGCATTAAAATTCCGACTTTACTATTTTTTTTTTACCACCCTAGTGAACCTACATGCATACATATCTTTGTATGGTAAGTAAGTTCACGGGTATTTTCATACATACATACATATATGATTTATGCACTCTGCTGTTTACACGCACTTTTTTTATGGATGTCGTTATTGCTTGTTGCTGTCTGCTCAACAAATATAAACAAAATACGAATATAGTATAAATATGTAAGTCATTGAAATTAATATACATCATTTAGTCTGCGAAAATGACTAAGAAGTTAAGAGGTCATTGAATGCCTACCTGCCTGCCTGACCAACCAGTTCAAATAATCGACTGCAATATTGGCGGTCGCTGTGGCTGAGTGGTCAGAGGCCCGGGCGATATATATATTTGAAAAAGCGCTCGGCCCTCGGCAGGCAATGGTAAATGCCGTTCGGAGGCGGCGTAAAACCGTAGGTCTCTCCATTTGTGTAACAACACCAAGACGCACACCCCAAATTGGAGGATAAGCGTGGCCAAACACTTAGCCAAAGTGTAAGCGCCACGATATTATTATTATTTATATTGGTTTCAATAGCTATGATATGCTGTATGTTTTTGAGCACATATTCTATATAAATTTTGTATTTCAATACTTGTGGGAGGTAGTCGAACGCTTAACGTTTACTGTTTAATTAATGGTTAAGTATGTCATTAAATATATGTATGTGCCTAAGTGAAGTACTTGTTTATCTTGTGAAAATAATCAAATGTCTGCCACACCTAAGTGTCACCGCACTGAAGATATCTATGACACGATCTAATGACTGTATTTGTTGCTGCTTAGCTGCAGGACAATAAGCAACCTTAAGCTTCGTACATATATGTACTCGCATTTTATGTACATAAATATATTGTATGTATACATACATATTATATGTATGTATGTATGTGCGTTAGTTCTTTGGAACTCCAGGATACACACATATCACTTGCCCTACATAGCTGGCATCAGTGAAAGAACAGTCTTGGCAAAAGTCAAAATCGAAATTGATTAGTCAGCAGTCATTTACGGCAAATAGTAATTAAAGTGTTGTGATACATTTAAATGGCCGGCAATGAGGACTATTTTCGATTACATACAGTGGCAAATGGCATAAACGTACATACATATTTATTTAATTGTGGGTCTATTTGGGAAATCGCTACCGCTGCCTTGGCATGTACAGACCACACAAATTGCTAGGACAACCTTATCGTTAAACACAAAGTAGTCGCATTAATTGTAATGATTGTTTTACAACTTGTGTTTGACAAAGATAGAAGCCGTAGAAATTGTGTATCTACGAAGCCTTTGAAAGTATTTAGGCTGAATTTGATACGGATATATGTTATTGTAGTTGACTAATAATAATAACTAATGTTCGCCCAGCGGTTGAAATTCCACATTTAAAATTAAGGGAAGTTGAGTTTAGTTGAGTTAATTGAAGTGAATTGGGGTGAAATGCGTTGAACAACATAACGTAACACAACACAACACAACACAACACAACACAACACAACACAGCACAACACAACACAACACAACACAACACAACACAACACAACACAACACAACACAACACAACACAACACAACACAAAACAACACAACACAACACAACACAACACAACACCACATGTAATTCTTCAACTTTGTCTTTATCTTTTTCTCTCTCTTTGTCTCTATTATTTTCTGTATCTTTGCTCTGCAGTTTTTTATCTTTTCACTTTCATATTTATGTTCATTCTTTTCTTCATCTACATATTAGTATTTAAATTTTCTGTCTTCTTTTGTTTTTATGTTTAGGTTTTTTTACTTTTATTTTATTCTTTGCCTTTATCCGGTTTTTCTCCTTCATACTCAACTTTTCCTTCTTCCTTGTGTTAGTATTATCCTGGGATTCAGTAATTCAGTCTCATCTCAAGTCACTAAATTTGAGATTACCAATTAGTGACTTGAGATGATTTGGCTATTCAGTAGGAGAGAGTCACAAAAAGTTCACCAAAA